CAGAATTCCGGCTAAGATTGGATTTAGACTTCTTCTGGTTTCGGTTTCCCCTTAAAGGAAATACACTGATTTTGAGTGAGTAATTCTTGGCTTTGCTTCGCTTTGTTCTAATTGCGCTTGACTGATTTTAATAGCCGACTTGTGTTCGACTCCCTCGGCTATATGTTATTAATCAAAAAAAGGCATATATGTATGTTTGCTTCCCCTTATTTTATTGTATTATAATTGCCTGGAATCATGGCCATGTTTGGTATGATGTCACCCCAACCACTTGTGGTAATTTGTCACTCATCAAGAGGGAACCAGAGACAATGCCAATGACCACAATCCGTCTAAACACCTACTCTTCTACAGACTCACGCCTCATGCTCATCTTCATCTCCATCTCCAGCTCCATCTCCAGCTCCATGTCCATCTCCATCTCCAGCTCCATTCCCTTCCACCGTCTTCATTTCTATCGCAGGGATGCTGCAACCGAGTCAAGTTGATGCCACATCCATAAACTGTTCGCTTGTTTGTTGGTTTTTAATTGGCAGCGCCATAATCTATCATTAATTTTGCCATAAATTGTTACCATCAATGCGAGGGCTGCCGATCCGGTTGCCAGCCGTTCCATGCGATCGGTGCTTTTATTTATATTTATTTTGATTTTATTTTTTATTTTTTTCTATAAAGCGTATTCTTTTTATCTGCGTTTGCAAGATTTATGCGTGCGGCTATAAAATAATATGCTGCCAGTGAGCCAGACGATTCGCAGACGGGGGACGGGGGACGCTGGATGCTGCGAGGAGGGAAATGTGGTGGATAAGGCATGGGACTCACTGACTGACTCCTTTGGGCCGCATCCTTTGGGCCAATGCCAACTATTTAGCTTGGCTAAAAATAGCGCCTCACACACACCACACACACATACCGCAGCAATTGCAATCACTCAGTTTGTTGCTCAAGTCTTTTGTTTTATTTCTGTTTGCATTTTTCAGTGTCAGGCAAGGATGAAGGCAATCGGCTTGGGGATCGCCTCCGCCTTAAAGTGAGTTATGCAGTCAACAGTTCATAGAAGAAAAAAAACAACTATCCATGGTTCTGCTACCAAAGATAAAACCCGAATACACACCTAGGTATATTTATTTCATCACAATTTAAGGTATTTTCCTTTGATTTCTCATCTAAAACCTGAAGACATTCAACAAGAGTGAAAAAACGGATTTTAGGAAATATTTAGCTTTACTTAAAATATTTGTGGAGATTCCTGGGGATACTTTGAGGACAATGTAGAGAGACGTTTTTCCTTTAAATAATCCTTTAATAGCCTAAAGACCAACTTTTTTCCAAGTGCAGGACTCTACCTTGATCGATTCCTGTTGGCTTATAGATACCTTTTGGCTTTTACTAACCATCAAACGCGGAAGACCGGCAGTCTGCGGCAGAGATTTTCAATAAAACAACGCCAATGGGGCTAAATGCGGGTATTGGGTAAAGGAACATGGAACCACAACCACAACCTCCACCACCATCGGAGAGCCACAACGAACCGGATCATTCACATACACACATTTTGTAATAAAATTAATGACACGTCATTACCTTAATATTGTTGTTACAATGTGAGCCCCGCCAAGAAGTACTACTTGCATCGTGCCATGGTGATGGTCTTCATGGACATGGAGTGGAGTGGAGTGATCGTGGACGTGGACTTGGTCATGAATGCACAGACCCTGGTGGAACCGTTACCAGACACGGTCCACAGCTGGAGGGTGAAAAAATTTCTTCATTCTTTTGGGCCTGGGACCCGTCATTAGTTTCTAAAGCATTTAGCCTTTTTAAATTGATAAACAACATTTACATGCAAATTGCGGTCATTTAGCGATAACATCAATTTCTGTATTGCCCAAGAAACAAAAAAAAACGGTTCACAAGCCCCCGCCCCCCTTGGCTGCTAATGAGCCTGCCTGCCTGCAACTACTGGTAATTGAATATTAGCCAGTACCTGAAGTTGGTCTAGAGCCAGGAGGAAGATCTGCCACAAAGCTTGACAAATTTGCGGGGTCAGTTTTAGTAGTCTTTCGAGTGGCATGTTGTGACGCTATGGATGTGGCATCTTAAATGTCAATAGTCGCTAACCCATTGATGCCTCGGAATTTCATGTAATTGCTTGGGCCAAGGACTGTGACAGCCAAGATAAACGTTAATTGATGGTGCGGGATGTGTGAGAGAGAACCAGTGAGGATTGGTATGGATTCAGTTGGGTTCTGGAACCCAGCTGGAGCTGGAGGAGCTGGACGAAAGCCTCCTCCCACTCACCAGCAGCGAAAGATAATCTCCGCGGGGCCACTTCCTGGTTGCACTTGGCCCGCAAAATTGCACAATTGCGATGCGCATTTACTTATGCAAATTATATACACATACTGTACACAGAGAGAGAGATTAAAATATTTTTTATGACTTAATAAAACATTTTTATTAAATTCGAGCAAAAGGCAGTGGAGAGTCGAGCATTTCAAATGCAAATCGCATGCAGAGCCTGCGGGTAAGGCTTGAGCCTTGACTTGGTCTTTAGAATTTGAAATATCTTTGAATTGCAACTGCCAATCGTGCATGAAGTCCAGGACCAGAGAGCCAAGAACTCTACAGTTCCCGCCCCTTTTCCCAGTTCCAAGACCAAGTCAAAGAGTTAACAAAAGTAAATGTTTAAAACATAGCGCCGCCATGCACTTTTCTCTCAAGGCAAGCGTATAATTTAAATTTAAATTTAAAATAAATAAGAAAAGTAAGATCAGGATTGGGGTATAAAGGCACTTTAGATTGCCTGCAAAAGGAAAGTATTTATTACTTAAATATAAATACCATAAACAGATATAGAAATAATATTGAAAATGAAAATTTGAATGCAGTTTAGTTTATTTCAAACATATCCTTAAGAACTCTTCCAATTAATATTCAATATTCAAATTCTCTTTCTCTTTTGCATACCTGCTGCTTCTCAGATCATATATCACAAGCCAAAACCGATATAGCCCCAAGGGAAAATACTTCAATTTCCTCAATGTTAAACCCTTTTTCCCCAAAACCCATATGCCCCAAAAAATCGGGTTTTAAAAAATTCACCAGGCAGACCACATAAATCCAGAGCTGCTTTCATTTCAACAGCAGGAAGAAGAGTCTGCAGTCTCACTCCAGTAACCAAAAAAATCGAATGCAATTCCGAGTCAATCCAGAGATGATCCTGCTGAGAGATTCGATGATGCTCTGGTTTGTGGTAGTACCAGGAGCTCATAAATCTCCGGGATATGTGCGTGTGATGGAGACACCACCAACCAGGAGGAGGCAAGAACCTCAGATGGAAGGGAAGTCCATGTATAAGGCGTGGCACGTTTGAAATGCGAGAATTTCAGCGGGTTTTCTATGGCATTTCAATCTAATTAGACAAAATGCCAAAGATGCTCAATTGGCGCCTAAGTGTTTGTGACCAAAACCGGGAACTTGACTGATCTGATTAGGCATCGAATCGAATCGAATCGAATCAAAGCGAATGCGCTTCTAATCGCGATCCATCCGCGATTGGGCATGGCAAACAAGATTCAACCAATTTGTAGCCGCCGGGCCATAAATGGATTCTCCGCTGTAACGGTAACAACAACAGCTCTTAACTTGGCTAGCTGTGATTTTCATTTCAATTGAGTTATCTTCCGCCAAATCCAGATCCAGCACTCAACTTGAACTGCTAATTTGTGGTTAGTGTTAATGAAAAAAAAACTTTCAGAGGACATAAAGCTGAGAACACCAAACAGCTGGCCACCCACCCACTTGGCCATAAACAAGTTCTTGCTCTTTTTTTTGGCCAACAGCTGGCTAATATATATGTAACAACTAACTGTACATGAAGCGACAATATATCTTTAACATCATGGCAGGCCGCGAAAAACGTAGAGATTAAGCTGAAGATTCGAATAGGTTATACCTTATAAAATAAAATTATATAAAACTACTTACAACTTTAATTTCAGAGTTTATTACCCAGTGCTTTCCAATTAATTTGTACTGTTTTTATATTTAGTACTTCCTTTACATAATTAAACAATTTCTTAAATATATTTAAGTGCTATTAAATCATGGTATTACTTTTGTTATAATTAAAAAACATAAAATCTTCATCATTAAACCGTTCTTTTCTAGACTATAAAAACTGCACCCGGACTATCGTAATTCATCAATTAATACCAGTTCTAAATCATAAAAGAGAGCTCTTAAAAAAAATCTATAAAAAAAAGAGGCAGCCTGGGGAAAGAACTCTATGGTATTCTACAGATTGAAATTATTTTTTCAAATTCTTCTCACTAGTTTGAGGCAAACTTAAGCCAAGTTCATTACACCCAACCAGCCCCAAGGATATCGGGCAATGAAGAGAAGCCGCCGGCATACTGTGTTTATTTACTGGGATGCTGGGAGAGTGGAGGATGCTGGAGGAGCAGGAGGAGCACCTGGCGGAGGAGTGTACCTGGGTACCGTGTGCAAGCAGATAAAATCATTGACGACTGGCAGCCGCCGCGAATCCGTATCATGATCGCCCAGAAAATGCACTCGCAATGCGAATGCTACACTACCAAAAAAAACCAAGATACTTTTGAGATAGAAACTTAAATACCTAAAAGGTTAATAGGTAAGTTTCAAGAGTAGGTTATTCCAGAAAAAAACCAAGATACTTCTGAGATAGAAACTTAAATACCTAAACAGTAAATAGGTAAGTTTCAAGAGTAAGTTATTCAAGGAAAACCCATGACATTTTTGATACAGAAACTTAAATACCTAAAAGGTAAATAGGTAAGTTTCAATAGTAAGTTTTTCAAGGAAACACCAAGATACTATTCAGATAGAAACTTAAATACCTAGAAGGTAAATAGGTAAGTTGCAAGAATAAGTTACCCAAGGAAAAACCAAGATACTTTTGATACAGAAACTTAAATACTTAAAAAGTTAATAAGTAAATTTCAAGAGTAACTTACCCAAGGAAATGTGTACTATTCTCCAGAAAAATCCTGGTTTAATCTCTTCTATTTCTTCTTTCTTAACCAGGATACATTTAAGATAGAAACTTAAATACCTAAAAAGTAAATAAGTAAATATCAATAATAAGTTTTTCAAGGAAAAACCAAGATACTTTTGAGATAGGAACTTGAATATTTAAAGGGTAAATAAGTAAGTTTCAAGAGTAAGTTTTTCAAGGAAAAACCAGGATATATTTGATATAGAAACCTAAATACTAAAAAAGTAAATAAGTAAATATCAAGAGTAAGTTACCCAAGTAAATGTATACTCTTCTCCAGACAAAATCTGCTTTTATCTCTTCTATTTCTGCTTTCTTAACTCTAAAATTTTTCGCTGTGCATCATCTCTTAGAGCACACTTGACTCTAGATCTTTGCCGGGATGCGCTGGAAGCATTGGCCTGTCCACACATTGCACTAATTATGTGGCTGGCCAAAGAATCTAGCGGTTCTGCTGTAATTTTTCCACCATTTCCGTGGGCGAAATCTCTTGTTCTTCTTATTTCTTTTTGGGGCTGCTGCGTGATCTGTAAAGATGGAAGATGGAGATCAGCTCTCCGCTCTCCTTGGCCATAAATTAGAAGTATGTCATTTGGCAGCTACCGCGGGAGAAATACCCCCCAAAAAAAAAGATACCAAAGAGAGATCCAGAATCGGCATTTCGGCTATAATTTCATGACCAAGTCGGGCGGACAACGACCCACTCTATGGATATCCAATTTCGTAATAAAGCATAACGAATTATATGCACTCGACTTGCTTTATTTCAACTGACTGAAACTGTGGAGTGGAAAGGAGTGGAGTGAAGTGGTAGCAGCTTTCCAGTTAACGGTTTTGGCCGGTTGCCTCTTTGGGAGATCTCGAGCCAAAGCCGGTAGAAGAAATTGCTTGCTGCAAACATTTTTCTGTCTCCCTGGACTTCGTTTTCTTTTGCATTTTATGAAGCGAGCCCAAAGAACTCTCATCGAATATGCGATTTATGCGGCAATTTGTAAACGAAAATGGCTCTTGCCAAGAATTATTATTGTCCATCATGAAAAGGGGGGACGAGAGCCAAGCCGCTAAGCCGCAGAAGGTAAAAAAGCGTTCTGAAAGAGGAGGCTCTTAGCGGCATTTAGCAAATATTACGAATTTATACCCATTGAGCATACCATAAAAAAACAAAACTATTTTTTCCCGACCTAGGCCTCTCCTTAATTTCTTGGAGAGATTTCTGGTTGCTTGCCATGATGAATGCTTGCAGGATATAGTTAAATTATATAGGGAATGGCAAAGGAATTTTTATTAGTTTTTAGTTAAGGAAGCCAGGAAACCAGGAAGATTTTATAAGATATTGCAGCAGTATTCATAGAGATCTTAGAAGGGTATAAAATGGATAGGAACAATGATATAATACATCAGAATTATATTAATAGTTCCTAAATATATTAATAATATATTACCATCTAAAAATAAAGGTTCGTTTCAATAAAATCAATTAATTACACACTTCTAAAGCTGTAATACATTTCATTTTTATATCAGTTTACAGATTTCCTTGAATATTTCTCGATTCCAACAATCCTAGCAAAACATAATTTTAATTTCTGAACAGCAGCCAGAATCAGATTCCAAGAAGAGCGTAAAAAAACGCATAAAATTCGTTAACTGGAAAGCCTTGAACTTGACCCGGCTAAAAGCCGGCAGCCAGCACAACAACAATAATAATATTAATAACAATAACTGAAGAAACGCAAACGAAATCGAAGAAGGCTGACATTGAGGCCAAAACCCATGTAAGTTGGTTCAAGTTAGTGGTTTTTGGGGTCCAGAGAGCACACAGCTTGAAATGTTATTACATGCGGGTGAAATATATAAAAAATAAGCGGTGAAAAAGCAAAAAAATTAAACCTTTTGACACAAGGCGGAAAACTGAAGATGCTGTTGGATGCTGCCAATTACTTGTTGTAAGCCATCAACATCAAGCGATTTGGCCAGGCCAGAAGTAAAAGCCACTCGTTTGGCGGTGTTGGTGGTGTTGATAGCCATCTTCTTCAGCTTAATTTAGCATGTCTGCGCGGCTCAACACTTTTCGCAACAACGCAAGGCAAGTTCCAAGTCTCAGCTCCAAGTTAAGGCCATTACAAGACCAAGACCGAGACCGAGACCAAGACCAAGTGCAAGTCCCATTCCCTTGACTGCCAGCAACGGACGTGCCCATTTGGCAACTTGATAATCTCTTTCTTAAGCGCTGCGGCCAGCGCCAATCACTCAGGGCTCACACAGCTCAGAGCTCCGGATCCGGACCCGAACCCCAACCCAAACCCTTTTGGTAGAACACTCTATTCCAAGCTCCTCTCCAGTCCTCACCTCACATCATCAAACGTGAGCGCTGTGTTCCTCTTTTCTGTAATTGTCTTAAATCAATCACAGAAAAGTGTTATTATGACAGCGTTATTAATCGTGACAGCGCACTCTGCAAATTGCCTCGGACTCTTGGTCTTCGTCGGTCAGTCAAAGACTCCATCTATATACCATACTATGCGCCTAATGATTTGAACTTGGACCGACATTAGTGCATAATGCTGGGGGACTAAGGGAACCACCTCCGCATCCGCCTCCTTTTTTGGGGGTAGAAAAAAAAGAAGGGTTCCATCATATGCAGCCCACGCGGCGAATGCCATTAAATGCAAATTATTTCCTTTTCTGTGCCAATTGCTGTGCTACTTTTTGCATAGAGTCTCCCTGGGTTTCCACACCATCTCCATGTCCATGTCCATGGAACTGGGAAGAGTTCGTGCTCATCATCAAAAGCAAATCATCAGCCAAAATAGAAATGCCATTCCACGTACACACAGAGCGCTACCTCCAGCCAAAAAGAAATTTCTTCTTTGTAGTTTTATTGATTTTTCATGTTCTACAATTGGCTCGACCGACGAGGGGGAGACAGTGGTTCGAAAGCGAACAAAAAATGTAAAAGAGAAATTTATTAAGATTACATTTTGATTTTAAAAATGTGTATAAATTAAGTAGATGTGACGAAGTGTTTCCTATAGTCAATATATTGTTATGTTACTCTAGAAGATTCAGTCATAAAGTTACAGTTCTTTCACAACTATTCTATTTAGACAAATCCTGCTATTTGGAGATTACAAATAGTATGAAAATTATTAAATTAACCAAGTTAAGAAAATCAAAAACAACTGCATTGATACCACTGTAGGATAGAACGTCCATCATAATTGCGGTGCTGCTCGTTGGTTGTTGTTCTGTGCATCTGATTAGAATTACAGAGCCAAGACAGGGACAGCGAAAACTGGCTAGAAAATGTGATTGCGGCTGGCAGGAAATTGAGGTCAGTGTTATGATTGTTTTGCGGATGAGTTTTCTGCCTTTGTTTCTTCGGCATATTTTTATGCAATTTGCGTTAAATTGGTCGAGAGAGAGAGAGAGAAAGACGAGACCCCAGTGGGCATTCTTTTGGGGTTACTAACTCTAGAGGCAGATCAAACAAACTGATCTCATTAGAAACTACACAAAGAGGAGTCTTTAGTTTTTAGCACCAGCTAACAAATGCGTGGGCGTGGCAGATGAGGTAAGACAGGCGCTTAAGCGAAAAAAAACACGAATATTTTCTAACCAGAAGTTCTGCCTTTCCTGATTTATTATTTACCTGTGTTATTTGGCTCACACAGACTCACGCCCCAGCCGTAGATCATGCCTGAGCTCCTCCAGTTCTTTGCCCAGAGAGGAGGCACAACACACATTCCAGTTGACAGTTCATTTGCCTAGATGGAGTCTACAAAAAGAAAAAGCAAAACCAGAAAAGCAAAGGCTTGCATACGCAATTTATGACTGCCACTGCAACTGCAACTGCAACTGCCACTGCAACTCCCAGTTAGTGGCAACTTGCTTTTCTAATTAGCATTTACAAATGGCTGCCGTTTCGAGGGCCCTTCGTTGGTAGTAGCTTTTGGTAGCCGGCTCATTAGGAGCCCGAGTACTGACAGTCGGCCAAGTGTAGCTGCTAATTTGTCACTGAATGCCATTTGCAGAGGCTTGGCCAAATGTTTGCATGTCCCCAAGGGTCTAGGTATACAATTATGCTAATAGAAAAGCCTTTTAAAATAAAGTGAATGGTTAAAATGGGCTTTAAGCAAATAGATTTATTATAAATATTGATGATCTAAGTATAAAGATATACTTGACTTGGAAAGGAACCTTCTTTTTTCAGGTATAATTGGTTATTAGTTATATTTTATAGTAAACTGTAAAGAGGTTTAAGCTCTTAATTGATCCCTTATCTGTTTGGAGTACCTACTTAATGAAAGAATACATCTTAGCCCTCTTAAGAAGCCACATTTAATGGTTTTCTAAGCCACTCAGAGCTAAGCCTTCACCTGCACAATTAACCAATCACTTAACATTCAAATGCCAGTCTAGAGCACAAGGACTTTGGTCTTTACCTAGGAAACCTTCTTCACCAAAGGAACCCCGAGTGCAGCTGTCATCCATTGGCGACTCGAAGTCGTCTGCCTAATCAGCATTGAACTGAGCCCGAAGTTAAGCTCCAAGTTATACCATTTTTTAATGGCTTTCTGGCCTGATCAGGAATTCACTTCAAGACGAATGCTTAGGCAGTCAAATGAGCGATGAGCAACTGGTTTCCTATGGATTTTCTTCGACTTTTTTAATATTCGGTCATGGATTTGCAGTTATGTGTGAAGGAGAGCTCTTTGGCAGGCAATTGGGTAATTGGTTGGTTTGATCTGCCAGGTAGAACCAGGTAGAGATGAAAGTGTGTCAATGGCTTAATTGGCTGCTCTGCTGTCGTTGGTGGGTGTTCGATCAATCATTTCAATGAGCTACCGTTAACCTGGCCAAAAAAATTCACCTGACAGATGGACTAAGCCAAGGCAATATCGTGCCAATCTGATGGCCACGTTTTCTTACCCGGAAAACCAAAACAACAAAACAAAAAAATTACCCAAAAAAAAAAGAAAAGCTAAAGGCGATATTGCACTTCTTTCATGAAGTGATTATCGATGTAATTTCAGTAATCTTTAGTCATTTGCAGC